CTTGTTCACCGCGGGGCACTTTTTTTCGTGGATCTTTGGGAGATAAGCTACAGAGGCCAAAAAAATAATACTTTTACAAATGAAATATATTTTTTTAAACTTCAAAAGATGTAAAACATTATACGAAAACTTTCGCTTTAATAAGTTAATATTCCTTTTTAAAAAAAAATCTTGAAAAACTGCATTTTTCCGACCGCCTGACTGTATATAACCCCTTAAAGAACGTCGATTTTTAAGAAATTTTAATTATTCCAATTCTTCTGAAATTAGTTTAATTTTTTAATATATACATATTTTCAATTGATTATTAAAAATAATGGATTTATAGAAGAATTTTAATTAAAAACACTAAAAGAAAGTGAATCTTGAAGCAATTACAAATGATTGCAGAATTTCAATTATTTTCAAAAGTAGTAAAATTCTTCTTAGAAATTCAATTATTTCCAAAAATATGAATAAAATTCATGGCAAAATTTCAATTATTTTCAAAAACTTTTATCAATTCAATGATTTTTAATAAATCTACTACTTTAATAAAATTTTCCAAAAGAATTTAATTATTTTAAAAAAAATAATAGAATTTTTCGTTAACATTTCATTATTTTCATAAATAATAAAACTCATCGCAGACTTTTAATTTTTTTAATACAATTTTAATGGAATTCCTCGAAAAATGAAATTATTCTTAAAAATTTTATTAAAAATCCTCAAAGAAATTCAATAATTTTAAAAACTTTTGCTACAATTTATTTATTAGAATTTAAGTATTATTTTCTATAAAGTTTTAATTAAATTTATTCAAAAAATTAAATTATTGTAATAAATTTTAATGAAATTCTTTGTAATATGTAATTCAATTTTTTTTCAAAATAATTTTAATAAAATTCTTTGTTGAAATTTTAATAATTTCAAAAATCTGTCAAAATTAAATTATTTTCAATGTCTACTATTTCAATAAAATTTCATAATAGAATTCAATTATTTAAAAAGACATTTTAATAAAATTCGTCTCAAGAATTCAATTATTTTTAAAAATTAATATAATTCTTCGCAGAAATTTAATTGTGTTCAACAATTTACAAAAATTCTCGTCATAATATCAATAACACAGGCACACAAAAAAAAAAGTTTCGTGGCCGAGACACTACAGTAGTATATTCCCATGTATTTTTGGCCGCTGAATCCGAATCTGAAGTCCGAATGCTCAAATTGGTTCTTTTTTTTGAGTTATACTCAAAAAACGACTCAAAACACGAATTTGAACCAAAAAAATTAAAAAATTTTTTTGTGAGACATGACAATAGCATATTTCCATGTATTTTTTCCCGCTAAATCCGGATTCGAAGTCAGAATTGACAGATGTGCTCAAAATTTTGAGCTAAACTCAAAAAACGACTCAAAAAACCGAATTAAAATGACGAAAATGAAAAATTTTTTCTGTGACACTGCAAAAGTATATTCCTATGTATTTTTTCATGCTGAATCCGAATTCGAAGTCAAAATTGACAGATTTGCTCAAAATTTTGAGATAAACTCAAAAAACCACTTAAAAAAAGACTCAAAAATCCGAATTAAGATGAAAAAATTTTTTATGACACTACACTACTATATTCCCATGTACTTTTTCCCGCTGAATCCTAATTCGCAGTCAGAATTGACAGATTTGTTCAAAATTTTGAGATAAGCTCAAAGAAGTGATAAAAAAAGCGATTTAAAATAAAGAAATGGGAATTTTTTGCTATGACACTACATTACAGTATTTCCATATATACTTACACTCGGATCTCGCATTTGAAGTCAGAATTATTCTAATGGCTCAAAATTTTGAGACACACAAGAAAATCTGTTAAGTTACAAAAATTAAAGTCAAGAAACTCTACTTTTCTTGCTAGTACACTACATTAGTATATTCTCATGTTTTTATATCTGCTTCTAAATTCAAAGTTAAAATTATTAAATTGGCTCAAAATTTTAAGTTAAATCCAAAAATGCTCAAAATTTAATATAATGCAAAAGAGTTTATTCTTTTGGTATTCGGTAGTGTATTCTCATGAATTTTATATACGCTGGATACAAATTCGAAGTTAGAATTATCAGAATGACATAAAATTTTTTAGAACTCAAACCCTGGTTACAGGTACAAGCATGCATGTTTTTGAGCACTTTTAATGAAATCCAAAATTTTGAGCCACTTTGAAAATTCTGACTTTGGAATCACAGTGAAAAAATACATGGGAATACACTAGTGTAGTGTCATAGCAAAAAATTTCCTTTATTCATATTAAATTACATTTTTATCAGTTTTTTGAGTATATCTCAAAATTTTGAGCAAATCTGTCAATTCTGACTGCGAATTAGGATTCAGCGGGAAAAAGTACATGGGAATATAGTAGTGTAGTGTCATAAAAAATTTTTTTCATCTTAATTCGGTTTTTTGAGTCTTTTTTGAGTGGTTTTTTGAGTTTATCTCAAAATTTTGAGCAAATCTGTCAATTTTGACTTCGAATTCGGATTCAGCATGCAAAAATACATAGGAATATACTTTTGCAATGTCACAGAAAAAATTTTTCATTTTCGTCATTTTAATTCGGTTTTTTGAGTTTAGCTCATAATTTTGAGCACATCTGTCAATTCTGACTTCGAATCCGGATTCAGCGGGAAAAAATACATGGAAATATGCTATTGTCATGTCACAAAAAAAATTTTTTATTTTTTTGGTTCAAATTCGTGTTTTGAGTCGTTTTTTGAGTATAACTCAAAAAAAAGAACCAATTTGAGCATTCGGACTTCAGATTCGGATTCAGCGGCCAAAAATACATGGGAATATACTACTGTAGTGTCTCGGCCACGACACTTTTTTTTTTGTGTGCCTGTGTAATCTATATGAATTTTTCTCCAAAATTTAATTATTTTCTAAAATTTTAATAAAATTCTTTAGAAAATTTCAATTATTATTTTCAAAAATTATTAGGAGAAATTCAATTATTTTTAATTAAAATTTTAATCAAATTTCCGAAAAATGAACTTATTCTTAAAATTTTTTATTAAAATTTGTCAAGAGAATTTAATTATTAAAAAATTTGTTTATAAAATTCTTTATGAAAATTCAATTTCAAGAAACATTCAATTATTTAATAAAATATTTATTTTTGTATTTCAATCATTGAATTCTCGTGGGTTTTTCTAGTAAATATTGATTAAAAAATGAATTTCAGTTAAAATTTTAGATTATTATTGAATATTCAAATTAAAATCTTGGAAAATTTGAACTTTTCATACTTTTAACTAACAATTCTGTAGAATTAATTTTTTTAAAAAAGTTTAATTGAATTTTTCTTTAATTCTTCAAGGTTTTATTTTCTAATATATATTTAATTGAAGAATGTCAGAATAATCGAAATTACGTAAAAATTAATATCGAAAATAATTGAATATTTATACGAAGAATTTTATCAATTTTGAAAATAATTGAAATCATGCTGAGAATTTTATCAATTTTGAAAATAATTGAATTCTTGCGAAGAATTTTGTCAATTTTAAAAATAATTGAATTTTTTTGAAGAATGTTATTCAAATTTTTGAGAATAACTGAATTCCTGCGAATAATTTTATTATCTATAAAAATAATTAAATTCTTAACAAGATTTTTAAGGAAATTTAGTATTAATTTTTCTCAAAAAGTTTAATGGAATTTTTTTTTTAAAATTTGAAGTTTTTAATTTCTAATTTTTTTCATTGAAGAATGTCAGAATAATCGAATTATTTTAGGTAAAATTGAATTGTAAACAAATGGATTTAAAAATTCCTAAAGAAGAACTTATTCAAAAATTATAAAAAAAATTGAGTTCAAGAAGAATTTTAGTTAAAAATTCTAGAAATGAAGAATTGAATTGAAAATAATTTTGAAGAAATTACAGTAACAATATTTTTATTATATAAAATAATGATAGTATCAAGTTTTAATGATTATTATATTTTATTAAATTTAAGATTTTTGAAAATCTTAATTTCTGTAAAAAAATAATAATGATTAAAAATTCATTTAAAAACGAAGTTATTGATGTTTTCGAATAATTTTACAATTAAAGAAATTCGTAAATAAATGTAATAGAACAGGAAAAAAATCGTTTTGTCTGGAAATTAGGGAGTTTGGTAAAATTAAAAATTAAAATTAAAATAATAAAATTTAAAAATAAATTAATTTAAAAATAATAAAAATAATATTTAAAATTTAAAAATAATAAAATTTATATTTTTTATAAATATATAAATGTAGTTTTAAAAACCTGGAAAAATTCTGTTTTTTAACCTGGAAAACCTGGAAAAGTCAGGGAATTTGAAATGAGGAAAAGCGTGGTAACCCTGTAATATAACTTTAATTACTTTTTAACTGCTGTCTACATTTATTGAAAAATTTAGCAATAAATAGATACCTACGTGAATAATAGATAGTCTCTTAAAACAAAAATAATGTTGAAAACAATATTTAATCTTCGACAGACCGGATCCCACCCTGGGCCCATAATGATATTGTAATGTCTACTACAGTTTTGCACCAACTTAAATGAATTTGCTCTAATGATAAAACTTTTGTTAATGAAATTATTTTCAAAATGCTAATTATTATTATCATATTATATTTAGAAACGAAAAATATAATTTGTTCTTAATAGTCAGGAAATAATATATTTTATGGATAAATTACAATTATGACTTCTGTTCTCTTATCTAATCTTGGAAAAATTAAAATAGTCGAATAAAACGGAATAAGCAAGGTCTAATGCCAAGGAAAATTTCTGAGAAGATAGCCAAAGAATGGGGTGAAAATCTTCCAATGACTGAATAATCTTTCAATTTTTATTTTTTATTTTCTTATTAAAATCAAAAATATTTATTAAATTGAATACTTGCAATTAGGTAGTTAAGAAAAGAATATTGTTTCATCAATATTTCAAATAAACAAACAAAAAAACAGTGAATATGATCTGAATTTGTTCCAGACAGAAGTTGACATCGCCTAAGTGGAATCGATTCAAAGGAATCAGACTGAGATGGAAAGACAAAATCAGACTAAACAACGTTATCTGGAGATGCTGGCATATGCAGTGTAAGTTCAGTTATTCTCAAATTAATTATTAACTATCATAAAGATTTAATACTCATGTGAATTTTTAATGTTTAAACAAATTTTTTTTTAATTTTGTAAATAAATTTTTTAAATCAAATCTATAATGAACAAAATAAACTTTTCAAAGTAACGAATCACTGTAAAGATTTTACAAATAAATAATTTTTTTAAATTTATATAATATTGCTTAATTTTTCCCAGGCCCAGGGTGACTACTAACCGTGAAAAAGCCGGGAATTTAATTTGACCGGAAAAAACCGGGAATAAGCCAGGAATTTTATGCCAAACCGGGAATTTTTTCACCAAATTAAAAACATTTTTATTATTTTAATTTTTTTGTAATCGCTTTTTATTTTAATTTTTATAGATATTTATACTGTTCTCTAAATTTGAATCAGTTGAAAATAATTAATTTGATTGTAAAAAATCAGTCACTGATTCAAATATAGTATGTAAAAATAAATTTGTATACAACTCAGGCGTATTATGGTCACTTTATCTACCTGTACAGGCGCGTACTAAGTTCAACCTTATAACCCAGCAGTCAATAAAGTAACCATTATAACCCTAGGGAGATAAAGGGTATATTATTGACCGCTCACAGGTCAATAAAGTACCCTTTATCTCCCTAGGGCAATAATGGTTACTTTATTGACCAGCTGGGTTATATGGGAGAACTTAGCATGCACCGGTACAGGTAGCATAGAGTAACCATAATACGCCTTTGTTGTATAAAGTAAAGTATGGAACAAGGGAGGTAACCTCGTTTATGACCTCGCACAGGGCTCGGATTGTGCGACTTTTTCGACTTTTTTCGACTTTTCTAATTGTAAGGAAATGTGACTTTTTTCGACTTTTTTGTGAAAAAATGCGACTAATCGACTTTTTTCAAATTTTTCAATTACTTTTCGACTTAAATTGTAAATGGCAGAAATCTTTTTTTGTTAAAAATATTGTTTACAAAATCATTCTTCTCTTTACGGAAAAAAACATAACATATTATCTCGTTTCTAAATATTTTTGAAGGAAATTCTCAATTTTCATAAGGAAACAATAATTTGCATCATTTCTATTTCTTAATTACAATTGCTTTAATAAAATTTAAAGTTTTTTAAAAATTAATGAAAAAAAATGTTTATAAATTCTATTTGTCAATTAGAAAGTGAAACTTTTAAAATTTTTAGAAAATTGAAGGAAAAAGTTTTAGTCAAAAAAATGATCTGGTTACATTTATTTACAAATTTCTTTCAAATTTTTCGAAAACATCAATAACTTCTTTTTTAAATAAATATTTAATTACACAGCCCCACAAAAAAAAGTGTCGTGCGCGGCAGACCAGACTAGTCATTTCCTATGTATTTTGACGCGCTGAACACGAATCCGAAGTCCGTTTTGCTCCATCACGTTAGGATTTTTTTTCTAACCTCAAAAAATCTGTCGGATTTTGAGAGGTAGGCTATTTTTTCTTAAATTAATGGATTTACTTCAAACTTGGTAACTAGGGGTTTTTTGGGTCGCTGATGACAAATTTGAAGTTCGATTTTCAAAATTCAAAATGGCGGCTCCAATATGGCGGACGAATTTTTTAAAAGTTAATGGATTTACTTCAAACTTGGTATCTAGGGGTTTTTTGGGTCGCTGATTACGAATCTGAAGTTAGATTTTCAAAATTTAAAATGTTGGCTCCAATATGGGGGACGAATGTTTTAACTATTGATGGATTTACTTCGAAGTTGGTATCTAGGGGTTTTTTGGGTCACTGATTACGAATCTATAGTCAGACTTTCACATTTTGAACCCCCTGCACGGAAAAAATGTCCGTGCACCGCTTGTCTCACTTCCAGTGCAGTTGATGCAGAGGTTGTCCGATGGAAGTGCGTTTGCTGTCTCTAAAAAGGGCCGTATATGATCCCTTTTCAAAGTGTAAGATTTGTACTGTAATTAAGGACCATTGGTGCACATATAGAGATAAACAGTGCACAGAAATTTTTTCCGTGTGGCTGCTCCGAAAGATTTTTTGGTAGAGTGTTGTGTAGCGGGAACTGTAATTTTTTGTTTTGTAATGAACTACTCTCAAGAACTGACAGTTGGGTCTCATTGCATCATAGAGATCAATTCGGCAAATGCACAAAACTTTTTTCATTGAGGTAATAATGTGACAATAAGATGTAAAAGTTAAATAATAAATTTTTAAGCAACGAGATAAAAAGGAACTTTAATATCCTCTATCCTTCACTATCTTATTCCTTAAAAATACATTGTTTACCTTGTACGCTTTGCACTTTTATTGTGTTTCAGCACAATACTAATCCTGCTGCTTCGATAAATGTAGTAGGCGATGACAACTGCCCCGAAAGGAGATGTGTAGAATGATTCGCTTCCTGTTTACCGAAGTAACGAAGCCAGCGTAGGCGCGCTGCCCTGCAGGGGGACGTTAGGGTGTGAGGATGATGCCGTAGTTTGTCCGACGACGAGTTGACTTTGTCCTCGTCAAAGTCGGAAAGCTCTCATACTTAGGCCTGGGGAGGTATGAGGGTTATCACCCCTAGGACGGCGGACTCACCTGCGATCGGGCCAGGATCCCTAACGTGCAGGTTTTCACATAAATCATGGCTTCTTAAAATCAAAACAATAATAAAACTTCAAAGGCTTCAAAACTTAATTTTGCAGTAACAACGTCGGAACACTTATGCGACAGCAATGCAGATGCATTTTGTTACATATGTGGACAATTCGATGTCCCCAAAAATCGTAAATCAATAAATGAAAATATCAAACAGATCTACAAAGATTATTTTGATCTTGAGATAACCAATCAGGATAAAAATTTTGTTCCACACAAAATTTGCAGTTCCTGTTACACAATGTTAACTCGTTGGAATCATAAAAAAGAGGATAAACTGAAGTTTATAAAGCCAACTTTGTGGGAAAAATCATTAAATCAAAAAGATTGTTATTTTTGCAACACCAATGTGCAAGGATATAATAACAAAAATAAAAAGAACATATTGTATGCTAATGTCCCCACTGTAAAAAAAACCAGAAATTTCATGCAATCCACCTTCTTCTCCCAAAACCTTGGAAATTGACAGTTCAACTGAAGATGTTCTAGATTTTGAAAATAAAGACATGAGAACCGATGATGAGGACGACTATTACCTTCCGTATGATGAACAGGAGATAAAGATTCGACAAACGTTTAACCAAGAAGAACTTAGCAATCTCATTAGAGATTTAAAATTGCCGAAGGATTGTGCAGAACACCTAGCATCAGTGTTGAAGAAGAAAAACTTGTTATCAAAAGGCACAACAGCTAGCTTTTATCGAGACAGAGAAAAAGAATGCCGACAATATTTTACAAAAGATGAAAATCCGTCGTTGGTATATTGCTCAGATGTTGTCGGACTCATGAATAAATTAAAAACAAATATATACAAAGATGAAAATTGGAGACTATTTATTGATTCTTCGAAAAGAAGTTGAAAAGTAGTACTGCTACATAATACTAATATTTATGCTCCAATTTCAATAGCGCATTCAACGGAAATGAAAGAAAACTATGAATATATGAAACTAGTTTTGGATAAAATTAGATACCGAGAACACAACTGGCAAATTTGTGGAGATTTTAAGATTTTAAGCATACTACTTGGACAACAATCAGGTTTTACAAAAACACCATGTTTCCTGTGTTTGTGGGACAGTAGAGATCGATCAAATCACTACATTAAAAAACAATGGCCAAAAAGAAATTCTTTCGAACCAGGTTCAAAAAATATAATAGAAAATCTCCTAATCGACCCTTCAAAGGTGATAATTCCATCCTTACACACGAAACTAGGAGGAATGAAACAATTTGTCAAAGCCTTAGATAAAGAAGGAAACTGTTTTAAATACCTGGAACAAAAGTTTCCAGAAAAATCTGATGCGAAACTAAAAGAAGGGGTTTTTGACGGACCACAAATTCGCAAATTGTTAAAAGATGAGCAATCTATCACCAAGATGAATAAAAAGGAGAAAGCCGCATAGCTTAGTTTCAAAGCAGTTGTCGAAAATTTTCTGGGTAATCACAAGAGTGAAAATTGGGAGCAAATAGTTAGTGATATGATTAAAAATTTTGGTAAGTTAGGATGCTTAATGAGCATAAAGATGCATTACTTAGACTCGCATCAGGATCGATTCCCTGAAAATTTGGGAGATTACAGTGAAGAACAAGGAGAACGATTCCATCAAGATCTTAAAAAAGTTGAGCGTCGTTATCAAGGAAGATGGGATGTAAATATGATGTCCGACTACTGTTGGATGCTGAAAAGGGATATTGTACCTGGAGGCACCAATTTGAAACGAAAACCATTACACAGATCCTTTGAGGACAAAAGAGTGCGCTACCATAAAAGGACGTGAATACCTTACTTATGTATATAAGAATTTCCATTTCGAGTTTTGAAAATCTAACTTAAGATTCGTAATCAGCGACCCAAAAAACCCCTAGTTACCAAGTTTGAAGTAAATCCATTAACTTTTAAAAAATTCGTCCGCCATATTGGAGCCGCCATTTTGAATTTTGAAAATCTAACTTCAAATTTGTCATCAGCGACCCAAAAAACCCCTAGTTACCAAGTTTGAAGTAAATCCATTAATTTAAGAAAAAATAGCCTACCTCTCAAAATCCGACAGATTTTTTGAGGTTAGAAAAAAATCCTGACGTGATGGAGCAAAACGGACTTCGGATTCGTGTTCAGCGCGTCAAAATACATAGGAAATGACTAGTCTGGTCTGCCGCGCACGACACTTTTTTTTTGTGGGGCTGTGTTATTATTTTTCCATAGGAAATAAAATTCTTCAAAAGATTCAAATTCAAACCTTTATGAAATTAAACAACTTATAAAGAATTGTTATAAAACATGAAGAAATCGATCACTCCGAGTCTTCGACTCGGAGCAATCGATGTCTTCATGTTTCATTACAATTAAAGATGA